ATACAGCCAAGCATTGGCAATACAAATCCTCTATAATCCGCAAGGCTATCTATTGTAAATCGGTGATTTGTCAGACTGAATTGTGGTCCATAAGTACTGTTAAAGAGACCAGAGAAATAGACATATTCACATTATGTAGTAGCTAAAACTAATATATAAATGTAATTGTTATTGCTAATTATTGTTATTACTAATGTTGGAGCTAACAATAATAATAGCAGTAAACTATTAATAACAAAGAATTTCTAATAAGTGCCAGGAAATTGTTGCATAACCAGGATTTACATATATATGGAGAAAAAAAGGCTTATAACTTGTGTCAAACATGAAAAAGAAATCAGTAAATCCCAATGGATGCACCATGGCATTTGATGACACTCATTTTTTGAAAGTGAAAAATTGCATAATTATATTATGTACAACAGCCCAAGAACCCATCCACCTGCCAATTAACAGGAAAACTTGTTAATAACCTGCATGATTAAAACTGATTTCAATAAATATTTCCTTCATATGGCCCCTTTTTTCCAAACACTCAAAAATACAGCAAACCAAAGCCATGCAGATATAATGCCCTTAGTTTCCTGAACAATAGTTGCAATGTTGACCTACCTGTGGCACCAGCAGACAGAACACCTATGCCATTTCTGTGCCAACAAGACCTTACACCATTTGCTGATATGTGATAAGTTCCCTGAACAATAGTCCCCATATCGACTTGCCTGTGGCACCAGCAGACGGTACACCCAGGCCATTTCTGTGCTGACAAGACCTTATACCATTTGCTGATATGTGATTCCTTACATTGAAAATGGTCATTTTCAAATTAAAAGCAGAGCTAGTTCATAACACAACATAGTGAGTGAAAAAATCATGTTTTGAACTTTCCCATGCCTCACTGACATTTCATCTTGTCAATATTATTGTGGGAGTATTTACTTAAGTAAGGCGTTTTAGAGGCACCAGCTGTGTTGTACATATTTTTTTTGGAAGGATGTGATTTTTTTGTGAAAACATTAAAATTATTTTGATTACTTATGGATATACTATGATTGTTTTCCTAAAACACATGGCTAAGTGAACTGTTCATATATGCTATAAGTTAAATCATATTAATTACAACTGTGACTGTTTCATAACATCTGTATTATAAATAGATATTGTGTAAAATTGAAATAAATAATTGCTCTATGAAAAAAAATGCGTTTTATTTCAGACCCAATTAAATATTTATCATTTTATTTCATCAGTAATTAGAAACGGAAACCGTGTCGTGTGAACTCCGGTCTAGTAATTACATTGCATCAACTTTTTGCATGTGCATGCATGTTATAGCTGAATAAAAATGTCACTATGAATAATAAACTAAAATTTTACGAGCAAAAACAAATGGCTTAACATATTGAAACAATGTTAATAAGTAATGATATTGTCCAACAACATGGCTATAAAGATTTCCTTTTTTATAATCTTATTTTCTATGGTCTCGTTATTTCACGAAAACCAAGTTCCTTTCCCTATGTAAAAAGATAATATTACTAAATCATTTGAAACATTTAAATGACAAAAAGCTTGAAAATTAATATCCCATAAACCCTTCAAGCTGTCAATAATTCGTGTATCAATGCATATATCTAATCCTGTCGTGAAAGGAAAAGCAATCATTTTGTTCCCAGGATAAACATCTAGATTAGGTGAAACAGTAAATAAATTGGACCTACGAGAATTGAATCTGTCTGATTGTTCTGCAAGAAATCTACCGTAATTACCACAATCCAGAGTATCTTCTGGTGAAAATGAGGTCCCTGTGGGTAGTTTCTGTCATTTTTTATCCCTAATAACTGTTACTTACATTACAGACGGTTGATGGAATTTAGTGACATAAAATAAACAATTCAGAGCTAATTTTTAATAAATATTCAACAATATATCAAGAAACAAAATGAGAAAATTATTTATATACGGATAATTTATTGAAATGAAAGCACTAAAGACCTCTTTTATAGATGGATGTTAAACTAAAAACCAATTTCCTATACATCTGATAGATGTAACAAATGAAGAGATGGCCCCAAGGTATTTATTAGGTGTTCAATAATGCAAAAAACATTACCATTTTGTCTTTCATTACAGGCTAGAGATATTGTAGTTTATTGAGATCTCTAAAAATGTGTTGCTATTTTGTATATTCAGTAATTTTGCTCCTCCTAATGTATCAATCTATTGCAGCTTGATTCTGGAACAAGTTCTGGCAACTTATATTTATCTCTTTAGAGTCTGTTTCTTGGAACTAACCAGTACTGGTGCCATATAAGGAATAATGATCATGACTCAAGTAGGACTCGAACCTATGATCCCTAGGTTAAGAGGCAGGTGAATTAACCACTAGACCACCACCCTCTTCGATACAGAGAGAGCCTAAGACAAAACTACTGGTACTTTAAAATTGTTGAGAATAGTATGTTTCCATTTAAGATTTGAATTCACAACCCAATAGTCTCTAAACTAATATCAACACACTTCCTAGCAAGTTTATAAGGTGGCAAAACAATGTGCCAGTACAAAAGATATTAATACTCTACAAATTATTTTGACTGTCTGTATGCTTGTAACTATATCTTCCTACATCTCTCATCATTTTTATGCAAAAATTAAATAAAAATCCTCAACAAGGTTCCGAAAAATGTTTTTAAAAAATATTTTTGAATGTCAAGAACGATGCACAGATCTAAATGCCTTATTTGAGTCATTGAAACTAAGTAAGTCTGTTGCATTTTGTTGCTTACATGAATTTTACACTTTGCTCCTAAATGCAAAATTCTTGCTACAAAATATGTCTCCAAAACAATCTACATTATATTTGTTTCTTATTGTTAAAATTGTTCATTATAAAACACTACAATGGAATGAGTAATCAAATGCATAACAATAAAATACTTAATTAAAGTTTATTAAAACATTTAGTATTGTCATGCCTGTGTGTGGCAGACTATAGTGTCACTTCCTGTTCAGAGAAAGCTACAAAATACTCTTCAATAACGCAGAATTGTATTTAACGATTTTCTGTTTTATAAAAGTTGTTCGTTTTAATTAATTTCTTGCATGTTTACAATCATGCTGGTAAAATAATGAAATTAATACCATGACAACATTGGTAAGGATGGGAAACGTTTGGCATCAAATTTCTGTTAAAATAAAGTTATGTGTAACTGAAAACGCAAATATTATATCAATTACAACAAGTAGATTATTTAGTAGTAAAAGTTCATTAACACAGTTGTCTGTGCATAGTGTAGGACAGCATGCTTGACTATTCTCAGTGCTTGACAGTAAGAAAAGGGGCATAACTCTGTAACAAGGTAATTCAGAGTTATGGGAGCTGTGTCCATTATGTCAGATAATCACAGAGAATAGGTGTATGAAGTTTCAACCTTTTACCTTTGATAGTTTTTGAGGTACCAACTTGCACACGAAAACGTAACAAAAGTGCGAAGACATCACTGACGGAGACCCTATTCTTCAAAAAGTCAGCAAAAAATGGTTATTATTGTAATTTAAAGGATTCTTTCTTTTTAATTATTTAAAGATAATATCTCAAAGATCAAAGTTTCAACATTTTTTCTGAAAGTTTGCTATTAGAAAAATCAAGGTGATCTCCTCAGATGTAACAATGTTACCTCACTCTGTCAATTGCAGGTATCTTATATTTAGGTAACATATCTAATAGTTAACTTATTTGTTTGTTTATAATAATATTAAATCCATTAATCGTCAAATCTTATTCCAGCTCTTTTTTTTCTGTACCAACCTCTTACTTTTAAAAATCTTCACACTATTTAGTAATTTTCAGAAAGATTAAATATGGAATGATGAAAAAGTTTTTAAATTTGAAAAAAAAACACCTTTCAGCCTCTATTTTATACAATAATACCTTTGCTTAGATATAAACATAATTGTTTTAATGCAGGGTATTTAAAATTACCTCTCTTTCTATAAATTTCTTACAACTAAAGTAAGCCACAATTATACCCTGCTGACAAATGATTAATAAACTAAATTACAGACTACAAACAATATCTGTCAATCAATCAGTCAATATAAGTCTGTCAGAGTTAAAGAATTTCTTAGAAAGATTTTTAACATTGATACAAGGTTGTTAATGAAACCTACAATTTTCAATAAATTTGCTGAACTAAAGTCTGAACCTGACTTTGATATAAATCTGGTTGTCATGGAAACATAATGTCACATACTGATGTTTTACTTCTAGATCTACTAAAACTACATTTCTTGATAATATCCATGACATGAAAATGTTATTCTCAAGAACATCACTGTGAATTTAACACCTCTAGCTAATAAAAGTAAATGAATCCAATGACAGTATCGATATTAACAATGCAAAATTCTGAAATCACTCTTAATACAAATCTTTGTGAACAATATTTGCGATAAAGTCTGGAGGCCTTGTTTCCATTACGCTTTAAACATCTATAAATTACTTAAAGTTAATAATTTCATTTCCACTAAATCATTATCCAGCGAAATTTCTTAACTGACTGGACTTGTCAAGCTTTCATTTTGGCATAATGTCTACCAACATGGTAAAGGTCTTATAGCAATTTTCACAGCATTTCTGGTGGTAGAAGACCTTAAGTGCCAATTTCTGCATTTTTTCAGGCACTGGCAGATACTTTCATAAAGCTACTAACTTTCTGAAAGTTAGATGGGTTGATTCCTCCCATGAAAGAATCTGAAATCTTGGTCGAGATTTGAATCAACAGCAGCATGGTGCCTGAGATTTAAAGTTAGTGACCTTGAGACTCAGAGGCCTTTATAAAACAAAACAGTGTTTATCAACCTTTAAATGGTTGTGTGGAATTGGGTTCTTTTTCATTACATTGACACCACTAAGGTTAATTGTGATCTCCAAGATTATAAGTGATTAACTTGGAAGGCACTTCAGCAAACATGCTGATAACAATAAATATAAATCTTACATGCAATGACAAGTTTTGCTGTGAATGTCTGTGTAGTATCAGGGTGGTTAGACAAGCCCTCGCACTGGTACACGGCTTGGTCTGCCTCCTGGACCCGCGGAAAATACAGGGAACCATTGTTGAACACTGTGTGCCTGTTAAATATACAGAAAGCAAATATTGTCAGCTGACATAATACATAAATCCTGCAAAACTCCTGATATGCTGAAGAACTATCAAAAAGACATTATAAGCATGTCTGATTGTGCGTTAATTTACTGTCTTTATATATATACTTATAGTTTTAACTAAGAGTAAACAAAAATCAAAAAGAACCAAAGCCATCAAATTGTCATCCGGACAAAAACATCAATAGATCTATAATACATTCACTAACAAAGAAAACATGGTGAATCCCTCAAATAATGAGGTTCATCTTAACACATCAAAGTATTACTTATATGTCATTGTGTCTACTTGGTAATACTACAATAATTGTACATTTTTTGCAGATCGCATTGACACACTTACACTGTTAAAAGTCATATGGTCACTTTCTACCATTTACTGAACACTTGACTGACAAATTATACTCTTGCTATCAATGCAGACCAATTCAGAAAATCACCATATTTTAAAATTTGCCTTAAAATGATGCATGGTTTTGTTCATACTAGAAAATGGACACCAACATTTAAGATATTTTATGTGGTAAAGGGTTATTGATGAAAAAAAAATTCAATGTCTCAAGCAAGAATCAAACCCTGAGCAATCAGGACACTAGAAATCCACAAACCTTGTTGAGCACTTGAATTGCATAAACAATGAGCAATCATGAAGATTTTCCAAATACTTTTTAGGCAGCCTCTTTATAAACATATCCAAAACAGTCCGAAACTTTTGAAACCGATCATTATATTTTGATTAGAAAATAAGTAAAATTAGAGTATTTAACATGGTAAGGCTATGGACACTATGGAAAGTGACTTGCCAAGGTCTCCCACTAAACATTTAGAAGTGGCAGCGAGGTCGATTGGTTAACACTTTGAACTACTAATCTAAGGATTGCTGACCACGTGTTAAAACCCTGTCAGGGGCAAGCAGCTCTTTCCTTGAGCAAGAAACTTTACATTCATTGCTTAGTACTTGTTGGTTCCAGGAGCAGATTCTAGAGTTTTTAAACAAGCTTCTAACACAATCAAACTAAAATAAATTTGTATAATAAAAAACTAAATATTTCAACCAGTTATTGTGGCTCTATTGGTTCTGAGGAAAGAAAACATAGAAAAAACAAAATTCACTCTATATAATCCTTCTGTCAATAATAACCGCAGTAATCACACGTCTTTTATAAGAAACCTTGCAATGTTCTAATTAGAGACTTTTCATACACTTCTTGTTGTTTTTTCTTGTTGGTGAACATTTTTGCACAAATTCGCACAGCTGCTAAATCAACAACATTATCTCCGAAAAAAAAGATTTACAAAAAGTTCATATCTGGCTGCGGCTCTGAAGCAGATGATAAGGGGAAATCAAGATTAATTTACTTACTGCAGTATTCAATTAGCAAAGATCAATCCTTGTTAAATACTAGTATACTTAGAGAGAAATAGTATGTGCATCGTATGTGTGGTCTATTTTTTGTGTTGCCATTTACACATTAATGTTATGATGATGTTGCTATAATCATAGTGAAAAAAAAAATTATGACTTAATTGATGTCACAAACAGTCTGCCTTTGTCCATTTCTGATATTTTTTTTGCGCACATATGACTTTATGATTTGCCTATTCAGGGCTTTTTTCCTTTTCAAAGCACTTTTCAAAGCAGAGGCATTTTATTGGCCTCTTCCCCTCTGGAAAATTCTTTAAAATTCTGTAGTTTTCCCCTAAAATTTAATTCAAATCAAGTTTTTTCTTCCCCTTAGGCCAAAAAACGTGAGTTATTTTTTCTGCTATTTAAAGATTAAAATACATGTATTCTGAAGTATATTGACCAAAACTTGCCATATATTGCCAAAACATAATGAAATTTAAACCAAAAGTTTCAATATAAATATATTGCCAAAACATAGGGAAATATTTACCAAAAGTTGTATTATATTGCCAAAAGAAATTAATGAAATTTAAACCAATGTTTCAATATAAATATATTTCCAAAACATAGAGAAATATTGACAGGAAGTTTATTGCCAAAACATATTACATTGTAAAATATTGACTGAAATTTGCAATTTATTGCCAAACATATATTTGTATTAAAATATTCACCATTTTTTGTTATTCAGAACATTGCTAATACATAGCAATTGGTCCAATATTTAGTAAGATAATTACAATTTATAGTAACTACAACTTAAAATACCATGCACATGATTTTTTTTAAAAGTTCAAATTCCAAATTCAATTTGAAATAAATCCTGATAAAAAACAGACCTTTTCCAAACTACAACCAAAGAAATTCCTTCCTCAGAATGATAAACTTCGGGGGGCAATCAAAAGGCCAAATAACGCATTAAGAACATCTTTCGTAAATTTATTTCAACAATTTTCCCATTACTAGATGACACCTATCACTGCAACCACTTAACAGAATGAATAAGTCACAATTATAAGTTTCCATAAATTTTAATTTTACCTATTATATTTATCTACATTTAAGATAGGCTGTTTATTATTATCAGTGATAATATATTACGAGTTTACTCACCTTGTGCTGTTAGTAAGCTTCTCATGATTGGCAAACCACTCTATTTTAGTGGCATTTATAAATGGGCAATCAAGCCGGGCGGCATCTTTTCTTAACACCAGCTTGTAAGGAGTAAATTGGTCTTCAACAAGGTGTGGCGTGTTGGGTGCTGAAGATATAAAAGAAATTGTAACAATAAATCTAGTTTTTCGTCATACCAAAATAGCATTCTGAGCATAGTTGTTGGTATTTTGCTACACTAAATACTTTCTGCTTGGCATATTAATTTGTAAGATAATGGATGCAAAGTATTGTACTAAATCTTCTTCATTCTTTAATACTAAAACCTAATGCATTATCTTTTATGTTGTTATTTTTTATTTCTGTCTCACAATTTATCATGTCTTACAGTTTCAAAATTTAACGGGAGCTTGAAACAGGGCCTTTAAGGCATTCATATTTGGGAAAGAAGCTAGCTTTTTATGCACTGATTTTGTTACTACTGTCAAATACCAGTGCCTTATATACTTGGGACAATAATATTTTGTACTCTATTTTCTGTATGTCAAAACCAGAGATGTAGATAACATTATCTATGTCTCTGGTCAAAACCAATGCTGTTCGCTATCAGTTTCTTTACTTGTTATAGGGTCGGTAAGCGAATGGATCCTGATCAGACTGCGCGGATGCACAGGCTGGTCTGGATCCATGCTGGTCGCAAACCCATTATGTTGGTTTTGTCGTGATGCGGCTCATTATTATTAATGTTTCTTTGCAAAGATCATTTAACTTGGCAAGTACAAATCCTAACAGTCACATGTTAACTGGTTGTTGTGTAAAATTATTTCTTAATTAGAAATGTACATGTATTTTAAAAGTTAATAAACAAGAGCTGTCCGTAAGACAGCGCGCTCGACTTTTTTATTGCTTGCCAATAAAAAAAGTTTTTGCAGTAAAAGGCAATACAAGAATCTCTGTATTTTTAAAGTGAACAATGGCCATGAGCATTAAGATATTTAGTGAAGAATTATTTTATTATGACATAATTTATGGTAAAGTGAACAAGTGGATAGGAATGAATTTTTTTAGATTTTTTAAGTTTTTTAGTGCTTGCCTATAATACAAAACATTGACAGTTAAGGGCCATAATTCAAATAAAATCTTTGACAGAATTACCTTCTCCTGGACATGTTTGGGAATCATGATTGTAAACAAGTATTCCAACTTTCAAATTAATATCTCAAACAGTTCAGTCAAAAAGTGGACTGGTACTAAAAACTTAACCAAGATTCTAAGTCGATAAAAGGCCTTAATTTTTAAAACAAATCCTTGACAGAGTTACCTTCTCTTGCGTACAGATGGGGGTAATGATGTGAAATAGCATTAAAAGTTTCAAAGCAATATCTCAAAGGGTTAAGGCAATAAGTGGATTTTACCCATATTCAATGTATTTTCTAAGTCAAAAAGGGGCATAATTCTGTCAATAACCTTGACAGAGTTATGTCCTCTTGTCTGTTGATGAAGGTCGTGATGGTAAACAAGTATGGTCAGTTTCAAAGCAATACCTCCAATGGTTTTGAAATAAAGTGAGGTGGTACAAAAAACTTAACCAAGCTCAATACACTTTCTAAGTCAAAAAAGGGCCATAATTCTGTCAAAAACCTTGACAGAGTTATGTACTCTTGTCTGTAGATGGAGGTTATGATGGTGAACAAGTATGGTAAGTTTCAAAGCCATACTTGTAATACTTCTGAAATAAAGTGGGGTGGTACGAAAAACTTAACCAAGGTGTGACGCCAACGCCGACGCCGGGGCGAGTAGGATAGCTCCCCTTTTCATAGAAAAGTCGAGCTAAAAAGTGCAATTTTCTCAACAAAATTTATTGATTTTTGTTAGAAAATTACATTCTGTCAATTAACAGTTTTAGATGTCATATAAAGTAGGTTTCTTTTTTGAAGTTGTCCTGACAGTACCATCCTTTTAGTGTCAGTTCTCAGATAACCAGGTGTTACCATACCTGCTGCTGTATTTATGTCTGATGCATCATGCAAAAAAGGACTTTTTTACTTGTGATGAAAATTGATATCTATTCAGTAACAATGACAAAATGACATTTTTTTTTTTTACTTTTTTTTTTTTAAATTGAAAAAAAAAAAAATCAATAATGATGCAGTAGTCAAGTTATTGATTACTTTATCCCTTTTTTAAAGTTTTTGTTCTTATTTACTTAAATGGCAAGGTAAAATATCGTTATGCCGATAATTTATAGAATATTGTAGTTGTTTGACCTATGTAAGTGAAAATAAGGTTCTGGAAAAGGTGATATCGTTTGATATAGGTTAGTACCTAATTCAAAGCAGTAAAAATCCTGTATACAAATGTAACTCCAAATAAGTTGAAGAAAAAACTTCGGTCATTCCTCTCAGTACACAGAAAATAATAAAAATTTATCATTTTTCACATATATCATATACGACTTGTAACTTACAAACTCTTCTTTCATATTTTTTTTTATTTTCTTTACTAGAAGAAATTAAATGAATCCTCAGATTTCTTTTCAATAAATATAATGGCAAACTTATAACAGTATTAAATTCTAGCTTTTTTATTACAAACTTCAACCTATCTGAGGTTGAGCTTTTTATCTTTTCTAATAAATAAAAGGTAGTAAAACTCTTCTTCCAGGGCTCATGTTCAGACAAAAATCAAATAAAACGTTTTTCAAAAAGTAGCCATTAATATTTCATATTTCGATAAACAGTGGTTTACGGAAACTAACAAAAACTGTTATAGTATAGAATTGTGTGATGTTGTGAAACTTGAAAATACAATAAAGATCTCATTTCAGATTATGTACGTAGCTGGTGCCGAAATATCTATTAATGTTGTTACATCTATTGGTGCCGCTCTATCTAATGGTAGCTCTATATCAAGTTTTCCTTTGTTTTTATAACCGATACGGTACAGATAGTAGAGGGTGCACGTTGATTATGATACAATATCAAGATAAATTGACAACAAAATTGCAGGGAAGAAAAAAAAAATTTCCCTCTTTTTTTTTCTGTTTGATAACAATTGATACATTTTATATCATGGAAACACGAGAAATATTTATTTCTTAGCTTTGTTTACATCAAGGGGAAAAAAAAAGGAAAAAACATGTAAAGCATGCTTCAATGAAAGATTTGATAATTCTGTATAATTATCTCCCTTTAATCTATATGTTGGACTGGTGTAAAAAATAATGTTGGACTGGTGTAATAACAGAGTATCAAAATTGATAGCAAAAAAAAAGTTCCAGATCTTTTTTTGATTTTATTTTAATTAATATTGACGAAATAACCTATTTCATAAAGACGATGAAATGTTAATGTCAAAAAGTTAAAAAAATAGCTTACAGCATAAATCATATTATAATTTATATATTTTTTTACAACATTTATCCCATAGGTACCCAGGTAGTCATCCATCCTCCAGAAATATGATTATGTAATTATTTATTTATGCAGGCTGAAAATTATGCATTTGAAAAATGACAATTGCCCTCTAACATTTTGTCTTGTTCATCATTACTTTATTTACATATTTCATGAATAGAATATAATCATTAACAAATTTCAAAAAGAAATTCTATTTTCCCCTTTTTCCTTTTTTTTTCACTTTCCTTAATGTATCAAATTTATAATCTGTAATATGAAATTAATTTGCAACATGTCTTACAAATTTAACAGTTGTAGAAAAAAAATTTCAAATCAAAATCAGGTGGAAAATTTGTGATAAACCGTGAACTTTGTTGTACCTTTTTAGTATTCAAAAACACACATCAAAAGAAAAGTTGCGGTGCATTGTAATTTTACTGGATTGTATTTTTCACATGATAATACTGTACATATGTGCAATTCCCACAATGCACCTAAAATTCCCACAATGTACCACCATTCATAACCAGGATCACTGTATTTTGAATTTTTCCTGTAGCTCAAATAGTATTGGCTTTAAGAAAAATTCCAGCTGGGATTAAAGAGGTTTCGAAGGAGCACGGAAATATGCACTGGCAGAATGGCATTAATAAATGTCTCAAATATTTATCATAAAGCAATTATGTACAATTTGGCATTTTTTTTCAGGAAGTGAAAATTTATATGCAAAATTGGCAGGTGAAAAAATAAAGAGATTCAGGAAGTCGGAACAACAACTATTCTATGACACTGGCAATGTTACTTATCTTTGACCAGTCATTCAATGAATATTCTGAATTTTTGCTTATCTTACAAGTTCCTATCAATTGATTTGGAATGCTAAGAAAATATGATATTGAAAAAATACCATTCACAAAAAAAACTAAAAAACGAAGTATTCTAACAGTTGAGTTGTTGTTTGATTTGGTTATTTGGTGATATGGGGTAGTGTTTGGTCTATATTACACTCCTGATAAAACTTATTACACAGCCAATATCACAGTTCCTTGCGAAAGTGATGGCAACTAGACTTAGCACTAGTTAACTGCTTGACAGCATGCCGAAGAACGATGCGTTGGCTGAACTGTGCTCTGGTAAATTCAATATGGCTTACTGCAGTGATCTGGAGTGAAAACTACCAACCCAACCAACACTACAGAAAGTTAACATCAGAGTACGGGTATAATCATAGTCAGTGCAGTAAAGGTTTAGTTACCTTGGATATTAAGAAGGTAGTTGGTGGTACTTTCAATGCGTCCAGCGACATTCTCAGCTCTACACGAATACACACCATTGTCTTTTGCCGTAATACCATTCAATTTTAAACGGGGTCCTTTATCCACTATCTTCACATGGTCCTTGTGTGATACACTAAGTAAAAAAGTAAGAAATATAATTTTTTTCAAAATAAGATTAAATTTGCATTTTTCTTTTATTAAATAGGAAATATACAATTCTCAAGATATTCTCAAAATTCTAGCTACAACACTATCATAATCATTTCCAGCTACAAAATTGCATATTTTTCATTAAATATTACCCTTACATGCATTCCACCTAGATTTGATAACAAATATTTTGGTAAGTATCAATGACATATATCTTATACAAAGTTGCATAGATAATTAAATAATAAGAACATTGTTCAAATTATCATTAAATTTTTGTATATTTGCAATAAAACCATCTTTTTATCAGAACTACTCCCACCATTTAATTTATATATATTTTAAATATAAATCATTTGAAATACAGTTCTTGACTTTCAAAAGTCTGTCGTATTCAACATGCATTGCAATTGTGTCTTTGGAAGACTATATAATCTCTTATTTATAAATCAAATGATTAATAAAAAAGTCATGAAAAATCATTATTCAATTAGTTTTATTTAATACAAAATATGTGTCACTGGAGAAACCAATTTTAAGTGCATTTCTTTTATATTATAGGTAGAACCCCCCAGGCAAGGATGATGCATCATTTGACTTCAATTTCATCTAAGAAATTTCATCCCATATATTTAGAATGCTATCACTTTGTGAGGTATTCACTTTACTAAATACTGTGAATAAATCATAATCAACATCAAAGAACCCAAAGATATGAATAGGAACCAAGGAGAGACAAGTCTACCCCAAAGATCTTCACAAATCATGTTCATTACTTAAAACCGCCTTCCTGATAAGCAACAACATGTTCACCTTTTATAAAATGAAAAACAGAAGTCATTAAATTTATATTAATTTCAATGAATTATTTTCAGGTTATTTTACTTGTGAAATTTTAATGGAATTCTAACGACATGAGTGACTGAAGTTGTCCCGGTTTATCATTACAGATGATCTATCTAGTTATGATAAATTGAATATGTATATTGAAAATAAATAAATAAAGGCACTGCAGAAGATGCTTTAAAGTCGCACACCTTCAGATTTCCTTTATGTTCTGTGAAAACTAAATTTTTTTTCAAATGAGTGCAAATTAAGAGTAATTTACCTAACCTTAGAAAGGCACTAAGTATCCATAATAATTACCGGTAACTTGAAAAATTATGCAGAAATTTCTTTTACTCCCTTAATGGGGAAGAATTTTGGTGGGAAAACACCAACAATTAAATTCTGCCATGTTTGCATAAAACATTCAAAGTTTCACCTGTTTTGTGCATATTTATTCATTTTTTCAAAAGCTATTGATATAATTATCTTATGTTAAGTTTGATTTCTGAAAAAATCTTTTTTAATACACCTGGAGTCATAATGCTTCTTTAAGTTTTATCAATTATATACGTAAAAAAAATGTGTAACTAATGACTTGGTAAATTTTTAATGAAAACATATATAAGTAGAGCTAGAAGGCCTATGCAATCAGGCATCTGGTCACATAATGACTCTTGGGCAAGCTCTATGTGCTTTAAATCATTATGTTAACCTGACCATCTGAGCAATTAAAAATTCTTTTAATCAAAATAACATCATATCAAGTCATGATCATAACCAAAGTCTAAGTTAAGTAGATTTATTCTTGCTGTAATTTATGCATTATTTATCACAATATGGTACCTATAAACATAACTGATTGCTATGGTTTTTTTTTATCACTTTAATATTTCATTTTTTTACATTATTTACCTTTTCCTATCAAGAATTCCTATCTATTATTGAAGAGAAAAAAGAAACATAATTTTAAGAATTATGATTAAGGAATGATTTATCAGTTAATGTGACCTAAACAATGGCTTTTCAGAAAAAAAACAGAATCAGGTTAAATGCTAAGAATTCTATGGTATCATTGTAGAACGATATGCCCTACAGGGAGCACTAACTTCATTCACAAAATCCTAGAGAAAAATTCTTTAAAAATTACAAAAAAAAAAAAAATAAAAAAAAATGCAAGTTAATTTCAATTTAGCCAATTAATATTACATCAGAAGCACATGATATATAATCAAGAAGTTGAAAACATTTCCCAGAAGCCCCCTCCCCTTCATCTATCAATTGGTCAGATCTTGAGAGACAAGCTTCCATTCTAGCCAGTAGAGCTGGCACCAGTGCTGCAACAAATATTTTGAGTAATCAATTTTAGCCAAAAAATTGGCACAGGGTATGTAAAAGATTCACCAAACGGTAATTTAAAAGTTACCTTTCTTCCAAAATCTGGCAATTCTCAACAAAAAAACATAGAAAAGAAAAAACTGAAACATTCAAAGACTGGCAAAACTGCGTGCTGTTCCTGCAAAATGTCAATGTTTTCTTTTTGGATCAATTATTTGCATAATTGCTAAAATAGTTTATCTTCTGCCAGAAAATTGTTTAATTCATCTAGGAATTGACTTTGAAATTGTAATATGTTAGAAAAACAAAGCCGAGCATCATGTGCAAGAATTATCAACAATGTTCCTTTCTCCCCATTTTGATGTGTTATCCAGACACCCCTAAACAACGCTCCCTTGGAACCAAACTAAGATTTACCATCTTGTTTTTTTACCTACCCAGAAAATTTTCATGATTAAGGTAGCAGTCTTTGATACTGATTGTTTATTTTTGATGGAGATTTTCCCTCTACCCTACTGAGAAATTAGCCAACACTTGTCTGTAATTATTGTCAATTAGGTTCATTAATAATCAATTCAAGTGGAACCCAATTGGGATTATCACCAGGAAAGAAGTTTATAGAGGACAAAGTGAAGAAATTAGTATAAAACCAGATGTTCTGTTTATCTCTTTACAAATTCTATTTGAACCCTTTTAAATAAATAATGGCTAATTTTGTCAGGTAAATTGCTTATCTTTTTACTTTACATTTTTTTTTTTAAAATCAGGCACTGATATTTCAATGCTCCACCCCAGGACTTTGGAAAATCTTCATGAAAACTCATGATCAAGGTCTAAGATAAACTGAAATATTAAACTTGATTTTCAAAGCTAGAGAAGTCAATCTTGGATTGATAATCTGTTTAAGGGTGAAACGTCAAAGATTGCTATAACAAGATAATAACAAATTTGTACAGATCTATAACTTATCACAAACACTAAATCATCGATGTCACGAACCTTTTGAACCTTAAATGACATAAAACTTTTCAAAATCATAAAAACGATAACATTTTTGTCACATAATAAACAATCTCTTCCGCATGAAATTATTGCTCTTTTTTAAATAAGAATAAAAGAAACATAAATCATAATTTCAACAAAAAACTCTCGAATTACACAATTTAAAATAAAAATCTTTCAAAATGCATGAGTCAGAAATACATTTGTCCAAAAAATTTCTTTTTAAAACCAACTTTTGATGATATCATACTAATTCCAACTTTCTTTCATTGATAATGGAGGAAAGCATATTTAAAAGATTATCGCTGATAAAATTACATATAAGTATTTGTTCACTGGGAAATCAGTCATTATAACAAAACGTGAGGATCTGATAAACGGATAATTCACATGTGCAAGGTGCGAGAAGGTGGGCATGTATCATTTATCATTTAAAATATCTGTAGATAAAACATCAGGTTCATGCAATTAGAGAAATATGATCCGGCCATTTACACTTGCAATGCTTTAAAGAGCTGTTACGTGAAGAATAAAAGCAGATTTACACAGTTTAACAGTGTGTAAAATACACATGAAAATCTCACATTTGAAATGGCCCTATGATAATTATCTTCGGCTTGAAAATTTGCATGTTCTTTTACAAAATTAATGAAAATACAGTTGTCTTACTGAAAATGAATTTTCTTTATCAACAAAAGAAATTCTAATTAACCATTGTGAATTGATCTAATATTTACTTTTATTAAATCAATAAAATTTAAAAGTTAATTACATTTAATTTATGATCATCTTAATCAAATTAACTTTTCTAAACAAAAAAGACTTAAATTTGTAATGACCAATCAAAGATCATCATTCCATGAAATTATGAAAATTTTTTGTACTACACTGTTCAATTATATTTTGGTCCCATTTCTATGTATATACTTTTCCCCTTGGATCATATTGTATATATTTCAAGTTTCATTGTTAGCCATTTTAGAAACAACATCTTTTAACTGACAAACCACAACAACAAAATTACAGTTCTGCACACTGGGGTCAAGCGCATGACTTTCAGACTTGTCGATGTTGACCAGAGAAATGACTAAGCATAATATTTCAAAGAGACAGACATATTGATCTATCGAGGAAAATGTAAAGATAAATAATAATCTAATGAAGCTTATACAACATAGTTTGAACTTTGATCCCAATAAACAATTTAAAGTCTGCATGGCCTTGTTGCCTACAAAATAATTCATATATCCAAGATTTCGTTTTGATTATTTCCATACCATAATATAATACACTACTGGTTGCAAATTTTTCGAAAAGAAAATATTATTTTCATGTTTCCTAGTCAATGTTACAAAATGAGTTACCTATATCCGTTTTGCAACCATTCGTACGAGGGTTCTGGATTTCCCGTTATCTGACACTTTAGTTGTATGTCAGCACCAAGTGCCACTTCATCTTCCTTGACACGCTTCAACTGCACCATAGCAACAGGATCTATCCCTGAAAATATAAGAAGCACATATTTATTATACTAGGTAAATGTATGTAAAATATCAAACATGTTTTATATAGAATACACGGTGCAAAGTCATGTTACACATTATAGCTCATAAACACCATTTATATTAAAATACTGATGGATGCTCTTTGATATGATAGGAGGAAAATCTATTTTTAGCTCAAGTGACCTTGACCATGACCTTCATCCACATTTAACTTTTCAATTTTAGCAGAAGTTATACCAAGGGCTATAAAGCTACTACTTATCAAACTTAAGTCTTTTAAAGCAGGTAACGTTTTCCTCAACTATCATACCATTCATTTCAAATTCTGAAAGGTCAATGCCCTTTACACCTCTCTTTCCCTTGTTATTAGTTTCTTATACAACAAACCTTGAATCCAATCATGACATAAAAAGAAATGGACTTGAAGTATGATTTTTTTCCACAATCAACCCAAAGAATAAATGAGAATGTCTAAGGGAGCATTTTCTCCATACCTTTGCTTGATCTCTACACATGTTCTGAGACACTTTAGCCTTGTTTATTATTTGCCACAGACAGTTTATACACTTCAAACACCACTCACACCCATTTGTCAATGCACTAAGCAGCTTGTTTACTTCTTGCCAAAAACAAAATACATTACTGGCTCAAAAAAATGGTAAAACCATTTGTTTTGGAAATCCATTAATTTAACCCAACGGAAGACTTTGTACCACCAAGAAGACTAGCACTTGGATTAACATTTTTTTTTCTTTTGCATAAAAGATTGGTTTTAAGGGTGTTTTTGTCACAAGTTACTCAAACTTTAACGCTTTATTAAAGAGTGTTTGAAACAATACAACCTATTTCAAAGCCTTTTTTTCAAATTCAATAACAAGTATTTACTTTTCATTCCCTTCTGCAAAATGTTCAATACCTAAGTTCAATACTTCAATGCCTTTCAATTAAAATGCCATTAATAAAAAATTAGAATTTATATAACACTTCTCAACATCCTTAATTAACTAGGCAAATGGATTAAATTGATTCCTGGCAAATTATCAACAGATTCTTGATTAAATTAAACAAAAACTGGAATGATGTGAATCTACCGTTTAACACTTTTTTTATGCACCACATTGTTTTAGCTTCTCCTGATCCGTCCCTGTACACAGTTCATTTAACTGATTTTCAAGTACCTTAATATAATTTGATAAATTCTTGACAGCAATTAAATAATTAAGATAAATACAACTGACAAAAAAATCAACAAATGAATTCAATTAAAATGCCTTTTATCAGTATTCCTGCATGCATAATTATGACATCTATAAGACGTAGCTTCCTCACACGAATGAATCCAAAATCTCTGGCAAGATTTGAACCCACAGTTTTGAATGGATTGTGGTGGCATGACCGAATGGTTAAAGCAAGATCGCTTTCCGTTCAAATCCTGTCAGGGGCAAGCCGAACAACGGCCTTGAGCAAAAAACTTTACTCTCATTGCTTAGTACTGGTTGGTTCCAGGAACAGATTCCAGGGTGTTTATAAGCTTATAGCTTCCTACACAATCAAATTTAAAAAAAAATTATGTATAAACCAATATCAGCGACCAGCCTTATACCACTCATCACAACCATCATAAGAAGGTACCACATCTCTAGAGGTATTACATCTCTATGAAGGATAATAATAATAAAAGTTTTATGAGCAACTCAACCTTCTTTGTGTTCCCACAATTCTTTTATATCTTTCCATTCAAATCATCATCGCATCATTACACGGTCCATTAACCACAAGAAACATAGGACTGACACAAGTCACAAGCATTTTATATACTTGCTTTTTTTATTAGATATACAATTTCAAATTGAATGTCATAAACCAAACAGACACTCTAGATGGCACATAAATGTTGTCATTTATTGCTTAAATATTTTATATTCTCACAATTAATAGCTTACATTAAGTATAGAAGATATTTAGGAAATAAGGACATAAATCACCTGCAATAATATTATATATCTACTTGAAACATTTTATGCTGTTTACATAATGCAAATGCATTGCAAAGATGACTACTTAAATCCTGTATAATCCATTAATTACCAATTAACTTGATAATCACTGTATGATAATACCCAGGGGGATTATCCTGCCGTACTGTGTCACATGTTCAGCTTAATTTCCTTTCCTTAAAATTTAACTTCATTGTCAAGGTTTTTGACAGAATAAAATATCAAATTCCAATTAAAATAACTTTGTTGTACAAAATAAATTACTGATTTTAACAATAGAAATGAATTATCACCATTAGTTTGCAGTTAAAAGATGTAAGTGATAACAAAATTGATCAATTTTCTCCCAAATTTAGACAAATTGAAGCTTGACCACTGGGTATAAAATACTACTCTTTGAAACTAGAACCAAGGAAGAAAATATTAAACTTGTCAACTACAGCAAATAATGAATCTTAACCTTAATACATTTTGCTGTATATGTTAAAATGATTCAAATGAAGAAAAGGGAAATCATTTTAAAATACATTAAATTATTATCAAGGGATGTTAGAGAAAGATGAAAGTATGCATGATATTGATTGCAAGCACATTAAAATATGTTATTTTGAATCACTCACTGGTGTAGTTCTGTACATGTATATGTATTTAAAAGTTATATATGAATTTCAGTATTGATACAAAAAATACATGACATAAGAGACTATTCACTTAGGTAATATACTAATTGTTGACTGATCAGCATAATAAGCACAATCACTGTGACATAGAAGATTCATCAATATAAATAGGTTCATTATAATTACTTATGACAATAAGCATTTACATGTCATGTATATTCCAATGAAAGTGATAGATGAGAATCACAGATTTACATAGGTCAATCACTGTGATAGAGAAGAATCATTAGTTTAAATAGGTCAATCAATGTAATAGAGAAGAATCATTAGTTTAAATAGGTCAATCAATGTGATAGAGAAGAATCATTAGTTTAAATAGGTCAATCACTGTAATAGAGAAAAATCATTAGTTTAAATAGGTCAATCAATGTGATAGAGAAGAATCATTAGTTTAAATAGGTCAATCACTGTTATAGAGAAGAATCATTAGTTTAAATAGGTCAATCACTGTGATAGAGAAGAATCATTAGCTTAAATAGGTCAATCACTATGATAGAGAAGAATCATTAGTTTAAATAGGTCAATCAATGTGATAGAGAAGAATCATTAGTTTAAATAGGTCAATCACCGTGATAAAGAAGAATCATTAGTTTAAATAGGCCAATCACTGTGATAGAGAAGAATCATTAGCTTAAATAGGTCAATCACTATGATAGAGAAGAATCATTAGTTTAAATAGGTCAATCACTGTGATAGAGAAGAATCATTAGTTTAAATAGGTCAATCACTGTGATAGAGAGAAAAATCATTAGTTTAAATAGGCTAATCACTGTGATAGAGAAGAATCATAAGTTTAAATAGGTCAATCACTGTGATAGAGAAAAATCATTAGTTTAAATAGGTCAATCACTCTGATAGAGAAAAATCATTAGTTTAAATAGGCCAATCACTGTGATAGAGAAGAATCATTAGTTTAAATAGGTCAATCACTGTGATAGAGAAGAATCATTAGTTTAAATAGGTCAATCACTGTGATAGAGAAGAATCATTAGCTTAAATAGGTCAATCACTGTGGTAGAAAAGAATCATGCGTTTAAATAGGTCAATCACTTTGATAGAGAAGAATCATTAGTTTAAATAGGTCAATCACTGTGATAGAGAAGAATCATTAGTTTAAATAGGTCAATCACTGTGATAGAGAAGAATCATTAGTTTAAATAGGTCAATCACTGTGATAGAGAAGAATCATTAGTTTAAATAGGTCAATCACTGTGATAGAGAAGAATCATTAGTTTAAATAGGTCAATCACTGTGATAGAGAAGAATCATTAGTTTAAATAGGTCAATCACTGCGATACAGAAGAATCATTAGTTAGGTCATTTAGTGCATCAAAAAGGAGATTCAATGGTTTAAATAGATTAATTTAAATAGGTGAATCACTGGTTTGAATAGGTCAATTCCTGTGAAAATGGAGATTCGCTGGTTCATAAATAAATCAATCACTGTGAAAAAGAAGAATCACTTCCAGCCAGTTGAGTAACCCAATAAATCCTGGAAATTTGTTCTAGAATCATATCCTGGCAGTCTAAGATAATGATATATTACATTTATTCTCATTTAAATTAAACAGATGTATTTTAAACGTATGGTTGCGTAAAACAATAAATTCATGGCAGAGACACAAGAACATTGGAAAAACAGAAATTTGATAAAACAGAAGTGTGGTTTATAAACTTATGTTGTATAAACATATCGAGGGAAGCAATGGTACTTATGGAAGATATCAAGTACCCTCTTAGTGTCAAAATACTTTCTAGTGACAAAACATTACATTTAGATCAAAATATATGATAAACTATTGTTGTCAGGAGTCAAGAATTAAATACAGTTCAGAAGCAGTTTTATACAAAATAGAACAGAAACAGAAATATAATGGTAATAAGTACATAAGTAATTGAACAATATATTATATTATTAAACGGTTTTTCACCTTGCATGTTAAATAATGACAAATGCAACTTATTTAAGATTAGGTATTTCTGTATGAATAGTGAAATTAAAGCAAGACTTGAAGTTTTCAACATAATGAAACAAAAGATATTAAAATAGAGAAATTAAATGAAGACTTATTTAAAATCACAGTTAAATATAAGTTATGAGAGTATAATCTATTTTTTATTTTTACTGGTGAATAGTTGTCAGGATTATTTGTTTCAAAAGTTTATCCAAAAGTATTAAATATCCCTGGGGTGTCCATGGCTGAGTGGTTAAGGTTGCTGACTTCAAACCACTTGCCCCTCACAACTGGGTTTGAATCCCTACAGGGACTTTGGATTCTTTCATGTGAGGAAGTTATCCAGCAAGCTATACAAAATGT